TCGACAAATTTTGGTTAGCGTTTTACCATCTACATGATATTCTTAATATAAGTACAAAATTTCACAACAATCGGTCGAGTACTTTCGGAGATTATCTGTCTAATAAAAATCCGTGACAACAGACGGACAGACGGACAGACGGACAGACGGACAGACGGACAGACGGACAGACGGACGGACAGACGGACAGACGGACAGACAGACGGAAATGGGAGACCTATTTCTTCGTCTTCTAGGGGTCATGAAAGATCGAGAAAACGTAAAAGTAGAGAGTCGGCCGACGGACTCGATTACAATACTTCCTTTGCTTACGCTCGGGAAGTAAAAAAATAATGAAGCGAAACTCGTCCGAGATTATTAGAATACAATATCAAATCTCGCACTCAGTAAAAAAAATAAAATGTTCACTTATGTTATTTGAAACGAAGAAGAAAATAAGCTGCTGTTTTCAAACACACATGAACAAAACGCACCTCACCTTAAGGTTCACGCACATAACTAAATCAGACATTTGCAACAATATCACCCCGAATTAATTCGCACTAACGTAAACGCGTCTGTATTTGTACAATAAAATAATTTCTCTCACATTAAAGCTTACAGTATTTAGTGTCGGAATGCATTGTTGGTCAGGGACGTATTCAGGAAAATAATCAAACGCAAACGGCTTACGACAGAAAGTTTGTGCATTTTATGACTCAACTTGTGTAAAAATAAATTAGGTGTAATTGTTTTACTCGAAATCGGTAAGAGATGAGAGGTTGGTTCATAGATCAAAATTAGCGACATTTTGGTTAGCCTTTTACCATCTACATGATATACAAAATTTGATAACTACTTTCGGAAATTATCTGTCTAATAAAAATCCGTAACGGCAGACAGACGGACAGACAGACAGACGGACAGACGGACAGACGGGCAAACAGACAAATGGACAGATAGATAGACGGAAACGGGAGACCTATTTCTTCGTCCTGAAAGGTTGAGAAAACGTAAAAGTAGAGAGTCGGCCGACGGACTCGATTACGCTCGGGAAGTAAAAAGAAAAGACATGCACTGGTGACGGCGGTTGGCCTGATCCTGGTCGAGTTCGGGTATTGTCGTCTTGACTGATCTCGGCAGAGGTCGGGGACGTTCGGGTGAACTTGGCAGAGGTCGGTCGTGCAAACCCGCGATCGGGGACGTTCGGGCATAGCGACCTTTTCGGTCGTGAATTTTTGGACCCATTAATGTAAACAAATGTGGACACAACATCATTTCTGGACAAAATTTGGTGATTTTTATTAGTTTTTGAGGGTTTTTGGTATCTAGGATAATGTCGGGTATTGTCGTAGGTTGACCTGACCTCGGCCAAGTTTGGGTAAGGTCGCCAAAACCAGTGAACGATAAGATTGAATTTACAGAAGGGACACATATAGTAGTAATTGACTCTTCTAAACAAACGGAATCTTTAAAGAGAGGCCCTGTTACGATCAGTTTGTGGTTTCAGACAACCGTTGGTATCTCTGTCGATACTACAGCCTACTGCCTTATTCTTCACGATCGAATGGTGAAATACATTCCTACACAAGATGTCGTCAGAGTGTTGTAATTTGTTACGATATTTAAAACTAATGTATAAAGTTTGCGGGATTAAATAAAACTATATATACCCATTTTTGTGTGTTTTATTTATAACTACCAGAAATTACAAGTAAGGTTTTCTTATAATCATCTAATTTAATCGAGGGCCATTTTGCTGAATCTGATCCTTCTTTCCAACTTAATGATATTTCAGGATCGGCTTCTCCTTTAGCAATGTTCTTCTTGATCCAGGTGAAAATTCTTCTGTGCTCCGAATTTTCAGAAGGTTGAAATGCGAAATAGTCGTAATTTATTATCTTCAGAGCTTCATAGAATGTACTGAGGGCTTTGTGATTTGCCAAATAAGCCGCTTGACACATGAATTCATCCACACATTGATCAATTCGATTGTAATTTTTTCTGACGTTGGCAACTTTATAGAAAATATTTCCAACATTTTGCCAACAATTATTATCACTAAATAACTTATAAATAAAAGATTTGTATGTTATGGTATTATCTAAATATGTAGTTGGTGAACAAAAGCATGATTTCTAGACAAAATTTGATTGGATTTACTTTGGATTTTTAATGTTCTTTGTTCCTTGCTTTTAATGCTTTTTGGTGTCTGTTGATGGTTGTTTGATGGATAAAATTCAATACAAACATGGACACAACATCATTTCTCGACAAAATTTGATGATTTTTATTAGTTTTTGAGGCTTTTTGGTATCTGTTGGTGGTTGTTTGATGTTTCTTTTTTTGGTGATGTTTTGTTGTTTTCACATAAAATTTAGTCAAAACATGAACAAAAGCATGATTTCTAGATATAGTTTGATGATTTTTGATGTTTTACTTTGGTTTTTTAATGTTCTTTGGTCCTTACTTTGTATGCTTTTTGATGTCTGTTGATGCTTGTTTGATGTATTTTTTGATGATTTCACATTAAATACAACACAAACATAGACACAACATAATTTCTGGAGAAAATTTGATTGTTAATTTTAACCAAACATGGACACATCACATCGGTACAAAATTTGATGATTTTTATTAATTTTTGAGGCTTTTTGGTTGTTCGATGTTTCTTTTTTTTGTGGTTTTTTGTTGTTGTCACATAAAATTTAATCAAAACGTGAACAAAAGCATGGTTTCTAGACAAAGTTTTTAAACGTTCTTTGGTCCTTTTTAATGGATTTTTACACCACAAACATAGATAAAAGATAATTTCTGGACAAAATTTGATGATTTTAATTGAGTTTTTGTTGCTTTTTGGCATTTGTTTCTGGTTGTTTGATTTTGTTTTTTTTGTGGTTTTTTTGATGTTTCCACATAAAATTCAGCACAAACATGGATCCAACATAAGGTTTTAGTTGAATTGTTAGAGTAGTTTAAGTAACTTGTGCGATGTCGAACGTATAGTTCTGTCCTTTCTGGCAGATATTATCCACCAATTGTCTTGGAAGATTATAATTACGCTTTGGAATTAGAAAGTTTGGTTACATGGAATTCTTTTCCAAAAAATCGTACTAAAAGTAAATCATCCGGGTGTGTATCTCGTAGAAAATGTTTTAAAAAGGAGAGGTAACCAACTTTATGTAAAGTGGTGCGGGTTTTAACAACACGCACAATTGTTGGATTTATACAAAAAGAATAGCATAGTCATATTCTTATCAGTCAGTCAAAATAACCGGCAAGATGAAGTTGGCTGGAGTCGATGTACAAGGTTTCCATTTGCTAGAATTCATTTTAAGAGAACTTACGATTTACGATGGAATTAAAACAATACATGAAACTTTCAAACCTACAAAACGTTTAAAAGAATTGGACGAAAGCATCAAAAAACAAATTAGATATCTACAGCGGTATCATGTTGAGATTTGATGATGGTGCCAAGGAGCAATCATCTGTCAAACAAATCTTGATCAAATACATCAAGGAACATGCGGTGGAGATCATATACGTGAAAGGAAGAAACAAAGAAGATTATCTCATTAAAACTCTAGGAAAAGACTGCCCCAAAATTGTGAATCTTGAAGCCATTGACGACTGTGTGAAATTGACAAAGGAAATCCCAGCATGTAATAATCATACAGCCTGACTGCGAAATATGTGCAAAAAAAAATGGGAAAAAGCTCACGATACGAGTATGTCACTGTATAAAATTCACGGTCCTAAGTGGTAGCAATGTCGAGAAAAAATTATTTGAAATTACATATAAATTGTTACACACGCCGCGGGTAGTGTTTCTTGACCTACATAATTACTACAATGAATGGAGAGCGACGAAGTATAAGAACCAAGAAACTAGTGCAAAACCTGCAAAAAGACGATAAGGACAGTCGTGTATCAGTTACTTGCCGTAGCTGGGTGGGTTCGGTTGTGTTTGATAATGGTGTATTTTACAAATTCAGAGCGTGTCGACATGGTAATGCTGTATGGGGTGGCGGATGGGAACTCCAAATCGCGCGATTCCGTGTGCGCGAACATTTACGTCAGTGGTACAGCATCTCCGAGATCATGGTACCTTCGAGCCTCAAACCCACGAGCGTGGCCGTGGTAGGACCGAAAGAATACCTACTGCAGGCGGAAGAACACCTTTTTGGAACGCGTCGAAGAAGAGCCCGAGATCAGCACTCGCCGACTTGCAGCTGAAGTTGGAGTTTCACAGTTTGTAGTGCATCGTACATTAAAAGAACAAGCCCTACATTCATACCACGTTCAAAAAGTACAAGCATTGGAACCCGCTGATTTTCCACGTCGTGTAATCTACTGCGAATGGTTGTTACCCGAAGTTTTTTTACGTATCCGTGAAAACATGTTGCGCCGTGCTGAAGCCTGTATTGCGAGTCAAGGACGACATTTTCAACATTTATTGTAAAAAGGTAGTAGTATTCTAGTTGGCTCTTATTTTTGTTGCAATAAACCATGTGGAATCGTTGTGGCAAGGACGTCAGAAGCAACAGTCCCCTTGTAGCATTACCAAAAATCGGTCCTTTTTAGGATCACCATTGGTCCTCCAACGAATAATTTTTCGCATTGACCTTTCACGATGAATGAATACATGAATGAGGGGATCATAAGCAGCAAAAAGTCAGTTTTACTTTTAATTGAAACTGAAAGTGTTTACGTCGTTTTTATTCGAACGTTTTTCCAACTCTGTTTACAAGGTGGCTCAGTGCCTTCGTATCGAGGGTGGTTCATGGGGGTTTTGCCCCATTCGATTTTTAATTTGTTTTTTCTATATTTCGACTCTACTAGGGTGGGGGATGTCGTGGTTAACATATTTGCATAGGTTTCGCAGTCGCCCTGTATATCTAATATTAAAAAATGTTCCTGTTCATTAAATAACTAAAAATATTTACAAATGGCTGTATTCTATATTTCCTCAATAAATAGTATGACATTAAAATGTGTTTTATTTAGACGCAAAAAACTGTCAGGTGTGGGATTCGAACCCACGCTCACTTTCGAGAATCAGAGCTTGAATCTAACGCCTTAGTCCACTCGGCCAACCTGACTACGATACTATCCGACCTCTGCCGAGTTCAGGCAAGACGATGACCCGAACCGCTGTCACCAGTGCATGTCTTTCCTATGCGCGAATATCTCTTACTGTTTTCGAGTAAAACAATTTTTTTTATATTTGAGCAACAACAAGTACACCTCTAACCGATATTTATTTTTACACAAGCTGTCTCACAAATTTACCGGAATGCATTTTTTGGAATAAAAAACTTTCTGTCGTAAGCCGTTTGCCACCCCCAGAACGCCTGAATACGTCTCTGGCAGTATCAAGTGCTTTGAAAGGACATTAAATAAAAGTAGCAAAAGTAGCTAATTGTTTTATTGAATCATACATTTCTTGAAGCATTGTATTTGCTAAAATAACTAAAACAAATTAATACTAAATAAAGTAACACACAAAATACGATTTCAAAAATAATTGCTCCTGCAGAAGTAAATATCCGTATCCATGGTTTTGCCAAACAATATTCCGTAGCATTTTGATCACTAGAATTTTTGAATCCACTATAATCGTTAATAATGATGTGATTCGGGGACTTGCATCGGCTGTTCTCTTTGAAGACTATAAGGCCCGAATTCTGTAACTTAACCTTTTAATAAGGGATCCGTTTGTTAAAGGCATTAGCCTAAAGGAAATGTGAAAGTGAATCCTTTAATATCTTATCCTCTATTGCATCCGTTGGGGAGAAACTTGTGCGTCAGTTTGACTTTATGTAAAGGAACGAACGGATGTTTTTACTACGATAGTATACGCTTTTAAAAAAGGAACGCTTGCGTTTATTATTGTGTCAAGAGAGACGGAATCTATTGTACATAACCTCAAATTTTCACAATATCGGTATGGTTGGTGTGACGGGCTGGGGAGATTTTTAAACTTAACTTTTGTTAATTTATGAGATATGAAATTCTTGTCGTGGTCTTTGTGCCTGACATACAGTAAAAGTATTATTTATCTGCTCGTAGGTTGGTTCGTGATGATGGTAACACATTTAAAAAACTTAAAAAAATAAATAAACATTTTATGAAATCATGTACATTTTTGGAGATATCAGTACTGGCCCCTTATGTACCAACACACTGGGGTGGCAACTGGTCAGGAGAGTCTGGCCTTTAATGGATTTTTTGGTCTTTTATTAGTAAAGGCTCCTCCACAGGAGTTGTTTTTGCAAAGTTGTTTATTAGTTACCAGTCTATTTGGAGCATCGTAAAAGCATTTGTATTTCCACCAAATTGGGCTTAATTAACTTCAATATGACGATTTTTAGTGCTTTTTGCTAATATTAACAAATTTAAACCATGAAACTATAAAACTGGACAAAGACATCATTGTTCTGGCTCATATATACCTTTATTGTAATTCCTCTAGGATAAAAAATCACAGATTCTCCATTTCTTCCCTTTTATTTAGAAACGGTCACTATTAAAACGAATCAAACTGACAGATAATTTGCATAAAGTGACACATATGACCATACGTTGCACAAGGGAAACTATAAAGGACTTCACCTTTATGCAACGGATCTATAAGGGTCCTTTACGTTTTAGAGAATAGGAATGTCTTTATGTAAAGGACAATCCTTTTACCAAAGTGCCTTTATACTTTACAGAATTCGGCCCTTAAAGGCCCGAATTCTGTAACTTAACCTTTTAATAAGGGATCCGTTTGTTAAAGGCATTAGCGTAAAGGAAATGTGAAAGTGAATCCTTTAATATCTTATCCTCTATTGCATCCGTTGACAATATCGGTATGGTTGATGTGACGGGCTTGGGAGATTTTTAAACTTAACTTTTGTTAATTTATAAGATATGAAATTCTTGTCGTGGTCTTTGTGCCTGACATATAGTAAAAATATTAGGAGTATTTATTTGCTCGTAGGATGGTTCGTGATGATGATAACATTAAAAACTTAAAAAATTAAACATTTTATGAAATCATGCACATTTTTGGAGATATCAGCACTGGCCCCTTATGTCAGTGTAGTAAAAGTGTTTGTATTTCCACCAAATTCGGCTTAATTAACTTTAATATGACGATTTTTTAGTGCTTTTTGCTAATATTAACAAATTTAAACCATGAAACTATAAAACTGGACAAAGACATCATTGTTCTGACTCATATATACCTTTATTGTAATTCCTCTAGGATAAATAATCACAGATTCTCCATTTCTTCCCTTTTATTTAGAATCGGTCACAAAACTAATGAACTGACAGATAATTTGCATAAAGTGACACATATGACCATACGTTGCACAAGGGAAACTATAAAGGACTTCACCTTTATGCAACGGATCTATAAGGGTCCTTTACGTTTTAGAGAATAGGAATATCTTTATGTAAAGGACAATCCTTTTACCAAAGTGCCTTTATACTTTACAGAATTCGGCCCTTAGGTTTGGATGGGTGTAAATATATAAATTGTTTTGAACAAGCACGCTTAATAGTATTACTACGTTGTTAGTCACATACATTTTTGCCTATCTTCACATACTGATATTTAGTTGTACATATATATCGACGCAAAGAAGAAGCTTGTAGAGGTGGTACGTAATGGTGGGATGGTTGAGACAGAACCAAATCTATCAAATATGACATTGTAATTGTTAATTGTCCAACTCTAATCGATACTGCAGTTGGTTTCGTCTCCTGCTTGAATGATCTGCGCTGGTAGTCCGCTAAACCACGTCGAGGGTGGTGGTGAGTGTCGGGATGCCTGAGAAAGTTGAGCAGCGTCTCGAAGCTCTCCCTCCCTCGCCCATGCATCCCTGTGAGTGTTGAAAATATGTTTCTGCAACCTGCCCCGCAACATCCTATGACTGCGATCATAGGGGCATGTTACAAATTCCTCTAAACAGGAAAAAAAAATTATATAATTTACATAGTATAGTAAAAACATACAGGGTTATTCAGCTAAGATGACCCATTTATGTTTTTAAAATAGGCAACCCAAAATACCGATTGCACCTGAATCTGGATTACAAAAAATGTTTCAAAATTAAATTGTATCAAAGTTTGCTAAATGTACAGAAACGTCAGTGTTGACGTTGGTCAATGTCAGAAAAACGCCTATGCATTCAATAACAAGAAAACCGACATGATCCTTAGTTATGGACACGTTATGGAGAATGACACAAAAAGGCTAGGCGTACAGCACAATTGTATGCCCGAACATACCCTGACCGTGTGGCCCCAACACCCAAAATTTGCAAGAGGCTATAAAATTCGTTGCGTAAGAAAGTGGCCTGCTAACAAAAGGAAATGGAACCAGACTGCAACTAGCTTGGAAAATGAAGTATAACTTCTTGCGCAACTTAATGAGAATTCTCATATGGGAGTTATGGGACAAATTGCTATTGCTAGATTGCTAAATAAATTTCATCCTAACCGCTCTAACCATCTGCATCTGGAACATGCACTTCGACCCACAAACCAACCACAAAGATTGAATTTTTATAACTTAATAAGAAACCAAATGCAAATTAATACAAATTTTATTGAGTGTTTTGTTCAGTGATGAAGCCAAAGCCAGCAATTTATTGCAGTTGCATAACAGTCTTAAATTTATTGAATGTGTTTCGTTCACCTACCAGGCAATAAAAAACACAATTTGCCCACAAAAATCTCTTTTAGATTCGGCAAACATGTCGGTTTTCTCGTTATTATCGTAAGAATGCATAGGCATTTTTCTGACACTGACGTTTTTATACACTTATAAGCAAACTTTAATACAATTTAGTTTTGAAACATTTTTTGTAATCCAGGTTCGAGTGGAATCGGTAATATTGGGTTGCCTATTTTAAAAACACAAATGGATCATCTTAGCTGAATAACCCTGTATACTTACCCGTTTCCCTGGATTGTTATTTGTTAATTCTTGATATTATGCGGGTGGTCTTGATTTTATATAAGATATTAATCCCCACTTCTGCGCTTACTAAATCGGGTAAATCGACAACCACAAAAGAGGGGGATAGTAAGCGAGATTGCACCACCGATCCCGACCCCGACCGACACGACCTTACCAGAACTCGACCGAGGTCAGGTCAACCGACACCAATCGAGTTTGCACGACCGATCTCGACCCCGACCGACGTAACCTTACCCGAACTTGACCCAGGTCAGGTCAACCGACGACAATACCTGACACGATCCTAGATACAAAAAGCCTCAAAAACTAATAAAAATCACCAAATTTTGTCGAGAAATGATGTTATGTCCATGTTTGTTTAAAATTATCAAATCTCCAGAAATTATATTTGTGTTATATTTAATGTGAAATCACCAAAAAATCCATCAAACAACCATCAACAGACACCAAAAAGCATAAAAAGCAAGGACCAAAGAACATTAAAAAACCAAAATAAAACATCAAAAACAGTAGTTATATAGTGGAGGTTCTAGGCCTGGTCAAATGAGGTCAAACTGGCCCAGCTCCCCCATTACTTTTCATCGGGCGGTCATTGACCTTTGGTCTTAGTCGCTGCACGTGGCTGACCTTGACGGACTTGCCTTAGGTCTGTACGTGGCTGACCTGTACGTCTTGTCACCACCTTTTGCTCGATCGACCCGACCCGTTTTTCCATAATCAGGTTGGCCGAGCGGTCTAAGGCGTCAGATTTAAGCTCTGATTCTCGAAAGGGAGCATGGATTCGAATCCCACATCTGACAGTTTTTTTTTCATTCTTAATTTTGCCGTTTTGACTTGCGATTAAATAAAACACATTTTAATATTATATTATTTATTGAGGAAATATTGAATACAAGCAATTGTAAATACATTTAGCACTATTTAAAGAAAAGTAACATTTTTTATTATTAGCTATATGTTTATCACATGCTGGTATTTCTTTAGATAATTTCACAGAAACTTCAATTGTTCCGAGGTTCACAATTTTGGGGAAGTCTTTTCCTAGCGTTTCCTTAATATAATTTTCTTCACATTTTCCTTTTACATATAAGATCTCCACGGCATGTTCCTTGATGTATTTGAACA